CCTAAAGCCCCAAAGCCCTAAAGCCTAAAGTCTAAAGCCTTCAACCCTGAAGCCCTAAACCCTAGACCCTAAACCCTAAAGCCCTAACGCCCTAGACCCTAAACCTTAAACCCTAAAGCCCTGAAGCCTAAAGCCCTCCTAGTCGTCAAACTCTCGGGCGCCGGGGTTGAGGAGGAGGCTGGCTCAACGGATGTGCTCGTTTCTTCAAGTTCTTGTGAGCCTAGGATGCTTGAAGTACTGCTGCGTAAAAGCTGTGGCGATTCCTGCATGTGGGTAGTTGTCAAAATTATGGTCCCTTTTGGGGTACCCTAAATAATAGGTGCCGTATTATAATAAGGACCCAAAAAGGGACCATAATTTTGACAACCACCCATGTGGAGGTGATGTTCAAATGTCCTCATGGCCATGGTGGTGTACTGCCGGATCCACTGGAACATGTTCCATCTCGCAAACTCAGTCCTCGGAATTCGTTGGACCGCTAGGAAGCCTTGAGGTACCAGCCTGCGTGCAAAAATCTTCACTGCTGCCTCTGTGCCGTCAAGGCCTTCCTCAATGCGGGTGATTAGGCTTCCCAAAGCCCAACGTGCTTCTGATCCTGTCCCGGATTCTTGATGCACTTCGAGCTGCTCCACGAGACGTTCCACTCGTTGGATCTGGTCTTCGGGGACTCTTTGTTCTTGAAGGCGTTGTCGTTCTGCTCCGTTAAGTTGCATCACGGAGCTCACCTCCTCATCCTCATGTCTCATCGTTCCACTGTTTGCGGGGCTCACCACTAGGAAGAACGGTTTAGGGTCTAGGGTTTAGGGCTTTAGTGTTTAGGGTTTAGGCTTCAGGGCTTTAGGGCTTTAGGGCTTTAGGGCTTTAGGGTTTAGGGCGGGTTTAGGGCTTTGGGTTTAGGGCTTTGGGGGCCTTATGTTTAAGGTTTAGGGCTTTAAGGCTTTAGGGTCTAGGGCTTAGGATTTAGGGCCGCTTGCGCACCCGAGCCCTAAACCCGAGAATGCCCGAACAACTCGTTGCAGAACCCTAAGGCAGACCTCAAAGAAAACCTACAAAAGCTCTCCAAGCCGCTAAAGCCCCCAGTAAACCCTCAAACCCTAAACCCTGAAACCTAAACCCTAAACCCTAAACCCTGAAACCTGAAACCTAACCCTAAACCCTAAACCCTGAACCCTGAACCCTTAATCCCTAAACCACTGAACCCCAATTCCAGCAGGGCAACATGCTCGTGAGAATCCCAGGCACTTGCCTCAGCTGGCAGATGACTGGGCTTTTGTTGCGGGTATGCCATGTGCATAATTCAAGGATCATGGGGACCTAGTAAGTAGGGTTTAGGGTTTAGGGTTTAGGGTTTAGGGTTCAGGGTTCAGGGTTCAGGGTTTAGGGTTTAGGGTTTAGGGTTTAGGGTTTAGGGTTTAGGGTTTAGGGAGCCCTACTTAAAGGATCATGGGACTTAGGAAGTGGGGCTATATTTAAGGTAACTGTACTTATATTTACTTATAACCCCAATCAAGGGTTTTATAGCCTTGCTCAGTAAGTCCCATGGTCCTCCAAGTAAGGTTGAACTATGGGATTTTTCGTTAAATACTAAACCCACGTGTAAGACCTACACCCAAAACCCGAAACGCATGAGCCTTCAGACTTTTGGTATTCTGATAGCAAGAATCTTCCTCAGTTGCTGGCGGCGTCTTACTTGCAGGGTCACTCCACTTGTTAAGTAGGTTACGTCTAGTGGTTTAGGGTTAAGGGTGTAGGTTGCCTAATCCCTAAACCCTAAACCCTAAACCCTACATATTCCGACTATGAACGCTCAATGTACACCCTGGAATCATTAACCTGCTTACCTTAAAAAGGATCGGCCTGTTCAGGCCGCTAAAATCAAGGCACCTATAGGAATCCTTCAAGAACCCCGTAAGAACCTTATGAAATCCATGATATGGGTGTTAGGGGTTCGGGGTTTCGGGTTTAGGGTTCGGGGGTTTAGTGCTTGAGGGGTTTAGGGCTCAAGGCTTACCACGTGCCATCTTTCAATGCCCTGTTGCACGTCGATGGTGCCAACATCGCCTGTCAACCGGTTGATCAGGCGTCCAACCTCGTCGCGGCTTGGGGTTCGGAGTAGGGTGAAGAAAAGTAGCCGTGGGTTCATGGTAGGGAGCTATAGTATAGACTCCTTGCGGCTCCGGGGTAGCTCCTCTTCAGGGTTCAGCGTTTTGGTGTTTTTGGGTTGCTTGTTGGGGGTTAAACCCTAAACCCTAAACCCTCAACCATGAACCCTAAACCCTCTACCCCGTTTGATCTGCAAAGCGCTTTCTGCAGAGTGTATCTCGACCAAAACTACACCCCCCGGTGTGGGTTAGCAAACCCCCGACCCTAAAACCCTTAAACCCTGATCCCTGAACCCTGAACCCTAACCCCTAAACCCTGCCCGAAACCCTACAGCCCTAAAACCCTAAACCCTACCCTAAACCCTAAACCCTAAACCCTAAAGCCCCAAAGCCCTGAACCCCAAAGCCCTGAACCCCAAACCCTAAACCCTAAACCCTAAACCCTAAACCCTAAACCCCACACCCGCCAAGGCCCCAGCCCGAAACCCTAGACCCTAAACCCTAAACCCTAAACCCCACACCCGCCAAGGCCCCAGCCCCAAACCCTAGACCCTA